CATTAGCACCTCTAGTAATATATTTACTGAGAAAATGGTGATGTGTTCAATACTTATTTTACCCGCTGTATATGTTGGACTTTAAAAACACTCCCACCAACACAAACAGGTCTGCTTCCAGTGGAGCCTTTAAATCACCAATCATGTCAGATAAAATAATCCTGAGTACTTTTAGTACTTGTACTAAGGTATACAGATAAAGACAGCACTACACAACTACAGGAACGGACGTTTTAATGGAAATCAACTCTGTCTTGAACCTACTGTCCTCAGACTCACAAATTACCACATGCTGTTTTAGAAKTGCACTCATACATTTAACCAATCACCAAGCTGCTGTGGAAACTGCAAAACAACCTGAAAACTTCTGTTTTATAAACAAGAAACTTCTAGACTTCTGGTGTGAAGACAAAACAGAGGAAAGAAGAAAAGAAGCAGAAGTTCTGTCCAACGAAAAGTTGAACAATAAAAAGGTTCATGAAGTCTGAAAGAACCAAATCTGAAATYTGTTTGAGCAACACATTGAAGTCACGGATTATATTTTCTGTGCTGCCTCTGTAATATGAACCAACTCTGTCAAAACCRATTCTGTTGTTAAGATAAAAACAAAACTCATCCTGAAACAGTTTCATTCTTGGTCATTTTGAATTTATTCTGTTGTCTGCTGGCTCTAAAATCAAGTAGAACCTGAGCCCAGAAATGTTCTCGCCCCAAGCAGAGCTCAAGATTCACTTTTGGCAACAAACTTTACAGACGTTTCATCACAGAGAGGCATGAGGGGGAAAAACAGCTTAAAAACTAAAGACAACAACTGTGTGTCTCCTCCTTCCCACCTCCTCCTTTATTTCTACATGCAGCCTRAGTAGCACTGAAAAAACATCTGTAGGTTCTACAATTTCACTTTTAATAAATCATACAACCACATCCAACAGGCTGAAAAACCTTGCAGCTAGTACTCTCCAGTGGAGATGTTATAATGACTTATTTTCTTCTCTTGAGCTTCTTTTATTTCACTAAAACCTGGTTCTACACTGCTGCAGACCAGAAATGTTGATAACTGGCTGGAGTTCTGGATGGTGTTTGGGGATCAAGAAGGAAGAGGAGAGACTGAGGTCCTTGAATTTACAGAGGGGGCAGAGCAACAGAAAGGAGAGTGAGAAAAATCAAACTGTGTTAATGGCCGTGTTCAAATTCAGGGGCTGCATCCTCCTAAGGCCAAATTTGTAGGCTGCTTACGTCACTGTGCCATGTCTGAAGCTGCCCAAATTCAAATAAAGGTGGGAAGCATTAGGCTTGACCAGTGGTTCCCAAACTTTTTGTCTTCTGACCCACAAAATATCCATGGCAAAAACTTGTGACCCCAAATATTAATGGTCTGAGGAAATGAGCTTCGTTATTAATAACCCTAAAAATACAGGTTTTTTGACAATCTAAACAGTTTGTACACAAATATAAATACTTATTTTTACTTATTTTGCGTTTTTGTAATAACTATAGGGAAAATATTACATCAGCAATTATTTTATTACCCTTTAAACTGATTTCTGGAGATTGTCCAAGGTGCTTCATGACCCATAATTGGGTCCCAAGCCCYACTTTGGGAACCAAAGTGCAGTGGCAACAAACTTTACAGATGTTTCATCACAGAGGCATGAGGGGGGAAAACAGCTTAAGTTTTCAGCTTTTGACCCACAGAATAACAGTAGCAGAGACCCGTACTTATAACTATTTTTGGATGATAAACATTAGCATCAGGTCAACTAAACATGGGCATAGTAACAATATTTTTATTTACTACATTTGTCCATTTTAAACATACTAACCTCACTCATTTGTAACGACTAAGGCAAAAATGTAACTAATTCAGAAAATCTTTTCAGGACCCCACCTTGAGGTTTCGGGACCCCACTTTGGGTCCCGACTCCAACTTTGGGAAACACTGGGCTAGACCATCCATTTACCATTTACCATCCAAATTCACAGCCTCTTTTTCTGGTCTTTACAGTCTACCAAGACCCGGCCCACCTAGACCGGGAAGGCCAGGTGTTTTGAAGGACCCAGCCCCTGAATTTGGAAAGAGCCATAGATAGCTGTGTCTTTGAAAGTCACTTTATTTGAGGCAGGCACACATGTCCCAAATCTATACCTGTATATATAAAATTACTAGATATTCTGAAGTCTAACATATACTGTTGCGTGTCTGGCAGATTGTTTTCTTCCTCCTCTTTCTCCTCTATTTTCAGGTTCAGTTTGCAGGCTGGAGCCAATTTGGATCTTTAAAAGCTGATTGGATGGAAGAGCTTTGAACAGACCAACCAGGACTCCACCACACCCTACTTAAGAAGCCCACCTGGAGGTCTGGGCTGGCTTCTTCTCCTCCCTGCTGCAGCTGCTACTGCTGCTGATTGCCTGGTGCACCTGTGCTGCTGCTCCTCCTGTGAAACCTGCTCCATTGTTTAAAGGTTTGTGGTGGGAGTTAAGAGGACTAGGTAAGTTTGGGATACCCTGTACATTTTTCATCACGTAGCTAACTTTATGTTAAAAACATTAGGTAAGTAGGTTGGTGCCACCCATGTAAAGTTTTGGTGAGACCTTTTTTTAGAGAAGTTTATCAGGGTGTTTTTCTTTCTTTGTTTTCTATTTAGACCAGATTGTAGACAGGCCCTGTTTTGTTTTGCTTGTTTCTTTTGTTTGGCACCACACCTAATGGTCCCTTTCTCCCCCACAGTGGTACAGTCTTTTGGAGCAGAGAAAAAAAATAAAACTTTTTCTACACCTTTTGCAGTGACTCGTCTATTTATTGTGGTTGTCGTGTTGCTGCCCCTTGTTTAAAGGAAGGGGTCGTAACATATACAAAGATTGATCTGAGGCTGCTTTTATTTTGTTCTTAATATGAGAATAAAGAGAACAGAGAAAAAACCCAAAACAAAATAAGGACAAACTYGGAAAAGGATGAACATAGAGACAGTGATGCCATGATGCCCTAGGGTCCTCCAACAGGATGATACCTTCTGAGTAGGCAGAAAAAAACAGTGGAAATAAAAACATGATGGAGAATGTTTTTATATAACCAATCCCTCAAACAGGCTGTTTTTTGAACACAAATCCATCCAGAAGTATCCTCAAAGTACTTCTAAGACTATAACTCTGTATTACATGAAACACACAAGATGTAAAAGGATGAGGGATCAGGAAAGGACTAAATGAAAGGTTGTGTAACTCTACCACACACTGGATCAGTCATCACAGGCAATACAACATAAATGAATAATTAAGATCTCTCACCTAATCCACTAGTAAAGGTGGCTTCTTCTGGTGAGGAAAAGAAAAGAAAGAAGCCAGAAGAAAAACACATCACATTACAAAGAATAACCAGACATGAAACAGCCACTTACCACTTCAGCCACAGATTAAAAAGGTATAAGGAGAAGTTGAAACAGGTGAAGTTGGGAAAATGTTAATTGGATTAGTCTTGATATTAATGTTGTAAATTTATGTTTACCAAACACCTATCTGGAAGTGATGAGAATTAATATTAAATTAAATTAAAGCATTTGCTGGTGAGTAATATGGAACTTTGTCAGATAGTAACATACTGGACGATTCATCATTTTTATTTTCTATTGCAATATAACTAAGCAGGTAAAAGCTGTGACTTTGGTAAAGTGAGAACTAAAGAGCTTCAGAAGAGAACTGTTCCAGTTTATGGGGGAGGTTCTTGGACACAAAAAAATAAATAAATAAAGTAAGAGGTGGCAGAGGTAAGAGGTGTGCCTTTTACACCTGTCAAAAGTGGTTCAAACATTTCTGTCTTTAAACACAAAGTGTAAATCAGTGAAGTGTGAGATGGAGACATTAGATAAGTAATACCTTCAAACTCCTCAGCTGTGAGTGCCAAAGAAGCAAGGAGTAAATGTTAGTTTCATTTCAAAATGTTAACTTGCTAAAAAATAAAAATGTACACTAAACGATGGAGGTATGATTTAATAATATGCATGGTAACAGGTAAGAAGAGTTAATAATGGGTATGGTAAAGTATGATAACAGGAAAACACCTACCAAACTCCACTGTCACATCGTCTTTGACAGCAAAAAACAGACAAAAATAAACAAAGAAGTTAAACATGATTAATGAGGGTGAACCTTTTAAAACTAAATTATTATTGACTGGTGGGAAACTACCACTAACCAAAATATTTAACTCTCTAAAGGTCCTTTATGACAATAACTGTTCTTACAGGGAAAATATGGATCATCTTACATAACTACTGTAAATTCTAGCACAGCGTGTTTCCAAGCGGTAGTTGCGGTTTGAGCATTTTACGTGTGTGCGGTGCGTCCAAAGCAACCGACGCTGGAGTTGCAAAATCTGAACTTTTGTACTTTGAGGAATGGATTAATCTTTAGACTGCATGAATGTGGATCTGTTTTGATGATTATTCATGCACAAGTGTGTTTTTGAAAAAAATTAAAATAAAAAATAAACATCAAAACTCGAAGTCTGTTTTCTTTCTTTTTTAGAAATGGATTTTGATGAATGTGTGTAAAAATATAAGGCACTTTCACAAAACAGTTACAAAAAATGGCCACAAATACTAATCTGTCTTTAAGCTGCAACAGATTGTTCATAAAATAGTAATAATGTTGCACAAACCCGACATACTGTAAATGTGAACTTAAAACAAGCATTGGGTGGCTATAGGTGTGGAGCAGAACTCAGCTGATGTTGAATGTAATTTTATTGATTTATTTAAAAAGGACAATGCACAAAATCAATTTTCTATTAATATAAATGCACCTGAATTAGCACAACAGATAAATTGTGTGAAAGTGTAACAGATGCCCTTCTCATATTTTCAAAACAATTTATTTTTGTTTAGACTTTAAATTGCCTTGGGATTCCCCCAGACAAGCTGGCCCAAGTGGTTGGGGAGAGGGAAGTCTGGGTCTCTCTGCTTAGGCTGCTGCCCTCGCGACCTGACCCCGGATAAGCAGAAGAAAATGGACGGACTTTTAAATCTCGAGGCCAGGTGGTTGAAACAAAGGAACTGAACCCCCYCTTTCCTTTTCACATGTCAACTGTTACCGCTCTGTTATTACTTTGTTTGGCAGCAAAAGATATAAGCAGGCTAACTTCAACCYACCTTAATCCATTCAGAATGTAGAGCTGTTTAGTACAAATACCTTGTTACTGTACTTAAGTAGAATAGTTGAGTATCTGTACTTTATTTGAGTAATAATTTTTCAACATACATTTTACTTCCATTTCTTACATTTTCACACAGTTATCAGTACTTTCTACTCCTTACATTTTAAAAAAAGCAAGACATAGAAAGTTGTTACTTTTATTTCATTTTTGCTTGTTTTAATTCCAGCTTGTTATTGAAAAAATAAATACCATCCATATAAATTGTGCCTCCTAGATAGAGTGAATTTAACTGTGATTGAATGAGAAGTATAAATATATTAAATTCTGATACCGTATTAGTTTGTACACAAAAATCATGTCACACTCCAGCAGG